CAGAATTCCTGGCAAGGAAGACACTCCTTCCACCGCCCCCAGGCAGGAAGGCAGAAATTTTATCTCTGCAGAAAGGGAAGTGCCAGAGACAGGCCTCTGGACACTGACATCTGGGGCTACCCCCAGGAAAATGAGAACACCCCTCCCGAGCATCTTAGGGACACATTTTGTTGGGGCTGATTTTTTCGTGGGTGGGAGGCAGGCTTGGGAGCCGTATTCTATGAGAGGGTGGTGATTGGATGGCATGGCCCAGCAACAAGTCGCATCACCGTAAGGAATGGGGTGCATTGGGTTGATTGTCTGAAGCCTGCCAACAATGATTTTGAGTAGCAGTTCTATTAGAAAAGCCATGAAATTATGTTTTGTAAATTGCACCAAACGCATCGCCATTTAGGTCATTGCTTTATAACCAGCACATGAGGTTAAAAAAAAAAAAAGGAGTTGGGCCAGGTGCAGTGGCTCAAGCACTTTGGGAGGCCAAGGCAGGCGGATCAGGAGGTCAAGAGATCAAGACCATCCTAGCCAACATGGCGAAAACCTGTCTCTACGTAAATTACAAAAAATTAACTGGGCATGGTGGCAGGCGCCTATAATCCCAGCTACTAGGGAGGCTGATGCAGGAGAATCACTTGAACCCAGGAGGCAGAGGTTGCAGTGAGCTGAGAGATCGGGCCACTGCACTCCAGCCTGGTGACAGAGCAAGATTCTGTCTCAAAAAAAAGGTCAACATTTAAAAGTTCCATTCATTGGGGTGATGTAGACCCTAACTTTTGTCTGCCTTTTTCTGCTTCCTGTTTGCTTTTTGTTTTGGGATCCAATTTATTTGTAATTATTTGTCTTGTATGCAGTAACCATCACTTGTCCCCTAACCAATGAAAAGAAAATTTCTTAACAAGTTAAGTCAGAGGCCCTCTCTTCCTCATCCTTACCAAATTCTTTCCTTCCCAGTTGTAATTTACTGTACCAGCTTCCTCCTCACCTCCCAATTCTCCTTCAGATATGCCTCCTTTACAGCATCACTTAAGATATTTTTTGTTCGTTTTTTATTTAACATGAATAATGGAAGCACTGTGGTTTGTACACTTAAGATTATTATTTTTTTAAAGACAGGGTTTCACCATGTTGGCCAGGCTGGTCTTGAACTCCTGACCTCAGGTGATCCGCCCACCTTGGCCTCCCAAAGTGCTGAGATTATAGGCATGAGCCACCACGCCCGGCCCGCTTAAGATTTTTTATGAGAATTAGAAAGTATAGCAAATTATAAGTTTATTTTTCCTTTCCCTATTGCTTGGGTAGAAAATCTCTCCATTTGTTTTCTTTGAAACTATTTAAAAGTGACTTCTTTAATCCTACTCCCCTGGCATACCATGTTTATGTTATCTTTCTTTTATCACCAAACATTGAGCTGCCCATCAGGTGGATTCCTTATGTAGATATTATTGACGTTTCTTTTTTTTTTCTTCTTTTTTAAATTGCACTTTAGGTTCTGGGGTACATATTCAGATCATGCAGGATTGTTGCATAGATACATACATGGCAATGTGGTTTGCTGCCTCCATCCCCCTATATCTGGCATTTCTCCCTATGTTATCTCTCCCTAACCTCCCCACCCCCTGCTGTGCCTCCCCTAGCCCCCCAAAACAGACCCCAGTGTGTGATGTTCCCCTCCCTGTGTCCATGTGTTCTCATAATTCAACACCCACCTATGAGTGAGAACATGCAGTGTTTGATTTTCTGTTCTTGTGTCAGTTTGCTAAGAATGATGGTTTCCAGATTCATCCATGTCCCTACAAAGTACACAAACTCATCATTTTTTAAATTGCATTTTAGGTTTGGGGGTACATGTGAAGAACATGCAAGATTGTTGCATAGGTACACACATGGCAGTGTGATTTGCTGCCTTCCTCCCCTTCACCTATATCTGGCATTTCTCCCCATGCTATCTCTCCCCAACTCCCCACCCCCCACTGTCCCTCCCCTATTTCCCCCCAATAGACCCCAGTGTGTAGCGCTCCCCTCCCTGTGTCCATGTGTTCTCGTTGTTCAACACCCACCTCTGAGTGAGAACATGCAGTGTTTCATTTTCTGCTCTTCTGTCAGTTTGCTGAGAATGATGGTTTCCAGATTCATCCATGTCCCTACAAAGGACACAAACTCATCATTTTTGATGGCTGTGTAATATTCCATTGTGTATATGTGCTACATTTTCCCTGTCCAGTCTGTCATCAACAGGCATTTGGGTTGCTATTGTAAACAGTGCTGCAATGAACATTTGTGTGCACATGTCCTTATAGTAGAATGATTTATAATCCTTTGGATATATACCCAGTAATGGGATTGCTGGATCAAATGGAATTTCTATTACTAGGTCCTTGAGAAATCGCCACACTGTCTTCCACAATGGTTGAACTAATTTACACTCCCACCAACAGTGTAAAAGTGTTCCTGTTTCTCCACATCCTCTCCAGCATCTGTTGTCTTCTGATTTTTTAATAATCACCACTCTAACTGGCATGAGATGGTATCTCAATGTAGTTTTGATTTGCATTTCTCTAATGACCAGTGATGATGAGCATTTTTTCATATGTTTGTTGGCCTCATGTATGTCTTCTTTTGTAAAGTGTCTGTTCATATCCTTTGCCCACTTTTGAATGGGCTTGTTTGTTTTTTTCTTGTAAATCTGTTTTAGTGCTTTGTAAATTCTGGATATCAGCCCTTTGTCAGATGGGTAAACTGCAAAAATTTTTTCCCATTCTGTTGGTTGCCAATTCATTCTAATAACTGTTTCTTTTGCCGTGCAGAAGCTCTGGAGTTTGATTAGGTCCCATTTGTCTATTTTGGCTTTTGTTGCCAATGCTTTTGGTGTTTTGGTCATGAAGTCCTTGCCTACGCCTATGTCCTTAATGGTTTTGCCTAGATTTTCTTCTAGGGTTTTTATAGTGTTAGGTCTTATGTTTAAGTCTTTAATCCATCTGGAGTTAATTTTAGTATAAGGTGTCAGGAAGGGGTCCAGTTTCTGCTTTCTCTACATGACTAGCCAATTTTCCCAACACCATTTATTAAATAGGGAATCCTTTCCCCATTGCTTGTTTTTGTCAGGTTTGTCAAAGATCGGATGGTTGTGTTGCCTTCGAGGCCTCTGTTCTGTTCCATTGGTCTATATCTCTGTTTTGGTACCAGTACCATCCTGTTTTGATTACTGTAGCCTTGTAGTATAATTTGAAGTCCAGTAGTGTGATGCCTCCCGCTTTGTTCTTTTTGCTTAGAATTGACTTGGCTATATGGGCTCTCTTTTGGTTCCATATGAAGTTTAAGGTGTTTTTTTCCAGTTCTGTGAAGAAGGTCATTGATGGGGATAGCATTGAATCTGTAAATTACTTTGGGCAGTATGGCCATTTTCACGATATTGATTCTTCCTAACCATGAACATGGAATGTTTCTCCATCTGTTTGTGTCCTCTCTTATATCGTTGAGCAGTGGTTTGTAGTTCTCCTTGAAGAGGTCCTTTACATTCCTTATTAGTTGTATTCCCAGGTATTTTATTCTCTTTGTAGCAGTTGTGACAAACTCATCAGTTTTTATGGCTGCATAGTATTCCACGGTGTATATGTGCCACATTTTCCTTGTCCAGTCTATCATCAAGGGCATTTGGGTTGGTTCCAGGTCTTTGCTATTGTAAACAGTGTCACAATGAACATATGTGTGTATGTGTCTTTATAATAGAATGATTTATAATCTTTTGGGTATATACCCAGTATTGGGATTACTGGGTCAAATGGTATTTCTATTTCTAGATCCTTGAGGAATCACCACACTGTCTTCCACAATGGCTGAACTAATTTACACTCCCACCAACAGTGTAAAAGTGTTCTTGTTTCTCCACATCTTCTCTAGCATCTGTTGTCTCCAGGTTTTTTAATGATTGCCATTCTAACTGGCATGAACCGGTATCTCAATGTGGTTTTGATTTGCACTTCTCTGATGACCAGCGATGATGAACATTTTTTCATTATTGACACTTCTTTTACCTTTACTGGACTGCTTCTCCATGCGCTTTTTTGATAGTTATCCTGTCAAGGTTTTCTTTCAGTCTATTTGACACAGTTTTTCCTTGTTGTTGTTGTTGTTGTTTGTGTTTCAAGATGGGTCTTGCTGTGTTGCCCAGGCTGGAGTGCAGTGGGGCCATCATGGCCCACTGCAGCCTTGAACTCCTGGGTTCAAGGAGTCCTCCCGCCCCAGCCTCCCTGAGTAACTGGGACTACAGCCAAGTGCCACCATGCCAAGCTAATTTTTTTTTTTTTTTTTGGCAGAGATCACTTATGTTGCCCAGGCTGGTCTTGAACTCCTCGCCTCAAGTTATATTTCTGCCTCGGTCTCTCAAAGTGTTGGGATTACAGGTGTGAGCCACCACGCCCAAACTTCCTGTGTTATTACAGGAAAGATCTTAGTAGTGAATAAAAAAAGACTTTAAGGTACAATTGACAATAAGTTGGCCTTTGCCATTTAAATATGGAAATTGAGGACAACAAATCCTCTGAATGTGTACGGAAAATGCTGCTGGGGAATGGTTTATTAATTTTTAATTAAAGAGATCAGAGCCAGGCAAGGTGGCTCACACCTGCAATCCTGGCAGTATGGGAATTCAAAGTGGGAGGATTGCTTGGATCCAGGAGACCAGCCTGGGCAATATAGTGAGACCTCTTCTCTGCAAAAAAAATCTTAAAAATTAGCTGACCATGGTGGCACACACCTGTAGTCCCAGCCACTCGGGAGGCTGAGGTGGGAGGATCCCTTGAACCTAGGAGTTCAAGTCTGCAGTGAGCTATGATCGCACCACTGCACTCCAGCCCGGGTGACAGAGCAAGACCTTGTCTCAAAAATAAATAAATAAATAATAAAGAGATCGAAGGTATTACTACCGTAAAGTATTTGCTATTGCCTTTTGGTGTCATTATAACTACCAGCATGTTTTGAATTTCAGAATTAACTGTGGCATTAAGTATATATTTGAGCAGCTATTAAAAATATGTGTAATGATGATTGACATCTGTAATCCCAGCACTTTGGGAGGCCGAGGTGGGTGGCTCACTTGAGGTCAGGAGTTCAAGACCAGCCTGGCCAACATGGTGAAACCTGGTTTCTACTAAAAATACAAAAATTGCCCAGGCGTGGTGGTACACACCTGTAATCCCAGCTTCTTAGGAGCCTGAGGCAGGAGAATCGCTTGAGCACTCCAGCCTTGGTGATTGGCGTGAGACTACACCTCAAAAAAAAAAAAAAAAAGCTATATGTAACCTATCAGATTTCTCAGAAATGCACTTTCCAAAGCAAAAGAAGAATTTTATTTGACTTTTTTACGTTCAGACTATGTTATCTTACATGCATCTACACGTCAAAGATTACTTACAACTGTGTCAATATGCCAATGCCCAGAAGAAAAAGAAAAATATTTACCAGTATTTCTAGGAAATGAATGATATAGAACAACAGGATATTTTTATTTTTCATTCACATTTTTAATAAAACCATTTCCCCTTGCATCACTAAAACTTTTTTCTAGTCAAAAAGAGAGAGAACTCAATATCACATGTGGAAACTACCTCAGAGTTTCCTATGCCTTATTTGTTCTTAGGAATCTAGACATTGTTAAAACTCAGAATATCCTCAGATTTTTGTTCTGTTTGGGTTTTGGTCTGGGGTTTTTCTGAGACAGGGTCTTGTGTTATCACCCCGGCTGGAGTGCTATGGTGCTATCATGGCTCACTGCAGCCTCCACCTCTTAGGCTCAAGCAATCCTCCTACCTCAGCCTCCCAAGTTGCTGGAACCACAGGTGCACACCTCCCTTCCCAGCTAATTTTTTGCATCGCCCAGACTGGTCTTGAACTCCTGAGCTCAAGCAGTCTACCAGCCTGGGCCTCTCAAAGTGCTGCGATTACAGGCATGAGCCACTGTGTGCCACCTATCCTCAATTTTTACGTTAATGATTTCAACGGTTATTGCCTAGTAGCTATGGAGCAAATTTGTATGTTTGCTAGATTGGGAATATAATTAGTGAAATCTAGAAGATACTTTTACAGTTGCTTTTGATGATGGTCTTTTGGCCAGTTACATTATCATTCAACGGTATCTTAATTTCAAGAAGAAGGTAGATTCACAGATATGGGACCAATTAAAGTGGAAAGGAATCACAGTCTGGCTTTTCTTTACGAGGCATATGAGTAGAGATTCAACTTACACTGTTGTTAAACCTACAATGGCACAGCCATAGCCCTCCATTAATAATTTTTTTGCCTCTTAGCTTATTTTCGTATTTCCTTTGAAGGAAAAATCCCAACAAAATTACATAAGGGATTTCTTTCTATAATTTGATGATCTAGAAAAGTAACTAACATATAAGCCCATTATAGCTAAAATTATAGTGAAAATACATCTTCACACACTTCATACCGCAACTACAACATATATTTGCCTGAGTTCCTTTCCTCTCCAACCCCCAATTTCCTCAAAGCAAAAGGACCATCCCACTACAGAGTAAAACCGTAGGTAGACAGAAACAAAACAGCCAGGGAAGATCTAGAAATCCAGTTAGAGCCAGCATAGCACGAGATAATCAGTCAATAAAAGAAGTCACATATTTAGGTTTTGCAAAACTTTTTTTTGTTTTTTGTGGTGTTTTTTTTTTTGAGACGGAGTCTCACTCTATCACCAGGCTGGAATACAGTGGTGTAATCTTGGCTTACTGCAACCTCCACCTCCCGGGTTCAAGCAATTCTCCTGCCTCAGCCTCCCAAGTAACTTGGACTGTGGGCACACGCCACCACACCCAGCTAATTTTTATGTTTTTAGTATATACTGGGTTTCACCATGTTGGCCAGGATGGTCTTGATCTCTTGACCTCATGATCCATCCGCCTCAGCCTCCCAAAGTGCTGGGATTACAGACATGAGCTACCACACCCAGCCTGCTAAACATTTGTAAATGCTTTTACTTTAGATATAAAAGGCCATACTCATTTTTCTAGATTATATCTTACATGTATTTTGAGGTTTTGCACTTATGAAACAAAACCATGATTTCCTATGTGTACAATTCCTTGAAAGCATTTCAACAAACATTTAAATTTTAGTTTTTATTAAAGAATTTCACCAAAGGCCTCTTTTTAAATCTGTGTTTTTTTTAAACTAAAGTTACTGTTTTCCAGCAGCGAGGTACAACACGCAGTCACCTCTGGGCATGTGCACACAAGTGCACAACACATAGCCTCAGTGTTATGGGCAGAAAGCTTATTCACCAAAGACCTATTTTTAGATGAGTGCTGTGCCAAACTATACTGTTTCATTTTTTTTTTTTTTTAGGTTAAGAGCAATATTTCATTTAAAAAAATGTTTTTAAAAATGTGTTCAAGCTTTCTTGGGAATAATCCAACTGTTTTGCTAAACCTTTGCCTTTTTTCAAGAGTGCAGACTTACAAAGAGTATATTCAATTTGTTACATAAAAGAATACTGAAAGAAGACTGAAGTTACCTCCAGTTAGCAAGTTCTTTGCCAGTCAGGTAACAATTCATCACAGTTTGACAAGGTCACTTTTTAAATTTAGGCTTAAAAAGGAAAGTAGAAATATCTCTGGGCAAAGAGGAAAGGTTCACATGGATGTATATAATGCGTTGTGATCTGATATTTTACCCCACACTCATATTATAAATAAACATGACTGGAATACAGTATAAAAATCCTCCAAATAGTCACTGTGCTAAAACTAAGCATGTGTGCTATATTAAGAGAAGTGGTATATACGGTACTTTTCATGATAAAATGCTTATTTTCTTTTTCCCTCTCAAAAAAAAAAAAGACTTTATGAACTTCTTCACAGTGATTGTGTAGTTTGTAATTTGATGTTCAAATTACACGTGGTTAGAGAAATGCAGTCAATTTTCATTTACAAACTTTGTAGATTGTATGTGGGTAGTTTGCTCTCTTTGGCAATCATTTAAAATCTGACTGGCCTCTGCTTTCTGGCCAACACTTCTTGGGATTTCTCTCCTCCCAAAGATCTCTTTAAATTTCCCTAGAGTGTTTGCAAAATGAACTGCCTTTAAAGATAGGCAAACCTACTTACGAGAAAGGAATAAATGCCTGGGGTATTTGAAGCTAATATATGTTGTTTTGGCAATCTGCTACTTTGAATGATGACATGACCAGGCAGTGTGTCATTCACGGAACCAGCCCAGGTGCCAGTCTCCTGCCAGTTTGTTTACCTCCAGCTCCTCCAGAAACAAGTTAAATGATGACTCAGGCCTGGTGTTGTGCTATATTTTAGCATTTAAAGTGATTCAACAGAGTATCTATTGATTTTATATATTCTTTGTAATGAAACCTTGGGAACCATCGTATTTTTTAAACAGACAGATTTATATATTATCACCTACCTTGTTGAAATCAGCAACTTTCAGGAAGCTTAAAACAGTGATTCCTTTTTGGGAGTCCCCTTTTGGGAAACTGAAACCCCACTATTTTACTTGCTCGTGTACCAATATCACATTCATTTGGGATGGGAATTCACCACATGTAATATCAGCAACAGCCATTCTTTCATTAAACCAATGTGTCCTGACCTCCTGTTCTATATCAGGAGCATGCCAAGGGTGAGGGATGCGAAGATGAGGGAGGTAATCCCTGTCCTCCAGGAGGTCAAAAACTAAGAAGGAAAGAAAAAAGTGAAGGAGGGAAACTGAGCCATAGAGAAATGATTATAATACAGTTTAGAATATGCAAATGTTAGTGTGTGCACAGGGTTTTCTGAGAACACAGAGAAGCTTGGTCTGGGTGGGGCAGGCAGGGAAGGCTTCCTAAGCGAAGATGTCTGAATTGAGTCAAAGGGGATGAGCACCAGCATGTGGCCAACCAAGCAGGGGGAAAGATACGTGTGGGAAGCGGATGATACTGGCATGGGACAGGCCCAGGTGAAACGACAGCAAATGCACTAACGAGCATGAAGCGCCCGAGGACCTGTAAGTAGTTTGGCCCTGTTGGCACACGGAATGACAGGGAGGGAGGAGCAAGCGGGGGAGTTGGAAAAGTAGACAGGGCTGGTGCATGAAGGCTTTGGGGCTTTAATCAACTTGGACTTCATCTTTAGTCTTAAAGCAGGGAGTCACATGATCAGAGGTACTTTTAGGTGGATCAGTATGTAGAGGACAGAAATGAAGAGAGCTCAGAGACTCTTCTAGTAGTCAAGGTGTGGGAGGAACTAGATGGTTTTAGGAGTGGAAGGGGAGACGGCCTCCAGAAAATACAACCTTCAGATCAGCAGAACTTGTTGAGTGATGAGATACAAGGGGCAAAGGAGCAAGAGAAGCCAGGAGCGACTTGAAGCTCAGGAGACTGACGGCTGGAGAGACAGGAGCAGGGAGCAGCTTCTGTTTTGACAGCAGACGAGGGGGGAGGCTTTCCCTCCACCTGCCAGCCCAGCACACACATACACACACACAACTGACAGCTTTGTCTTGCTCCCATAATGTGCCATGCTGTCCCTACAAGAACATTGTAGCACTTCATTTTAATTACTTGCTTAATTGTCTGTCTTCCTCACTGGACTGTAAGCTAACTGACGACATGAATTGTGTTTGTCTCTTTCATTGTTCACTCCCAGAGTCAGCAGACTGCCTGGCACACAGTAGGCATCAATAAATACGTATTAAAGGACTGTGTTCCATTTCAGATCGTAATTAAGAATCAGCCATACATTTTCAGTTAGCTTTTTGCAGTATTTTTATGACAGCCCCGCTGGAGTTATCTAATAAAGAGACTGGAGCTGCACATGCCAGTGAACTTGGGTTCCAGTACCCACTCTGCCTTTGCCAGATTTGTAACCCCTGCTGGGTGTCCTTTCCCCATGAGTATAGCTAGGTATTTTCACAGGTATGCCTGCTGAGGTCCTGCCCAGTCCTGATGTGATGCAAGAGGGAACACATTTTACAGGATGGTCAAAAAGAGAAAAATGGTAATACCTT